TGGGGAGACAAGAGTTGTTGGACTACTGTGCTAATGGCTCACGAGTCCCTCAGTCTGTCTTATTTCCTCTGGGACCTGTTTGTGCCCAAGACAAAGACATTCTGTCCTTCCACTTAGCCAGCCCAGTAGTGCAGAACCCTCTTGCTACCAGCTAGGACCACAAAATGTGACTGTGTTTGGAGATGGGGTCTTTAAAGGGATAGGATGGGGTTTTTATCTAATGTGTCTGATGTCTTTATGCTGCTGCTGCTGCTGCTAAGTCACTTCAATCGTGTCCGACTCTGTGCGACCCCATAGACAGCAGCCCACCAGGCTCCCCCGTCCCTGGGATTCTCCAGGCAAGAACACTGGAGTGGGTTGCCATTTCCTTCTCCAATGCATGAAAGTGAAAAGTGAAAGTGAAGTCGCTCAGTTGTGTCTGACTCTCAGTGACCTCATGGATTGCAGCCCACCAGGCTCCTCCGTCCATGGGATTTTCCAGGCAAGAGTACCGGAGTGGGGTGCCATTGCCTTCTCTGGGTGTCCTTATAAAAGGAGGAAGTTAGGACACAGATACACGTGTAACAGACCTCATGTGAAGACCCAGGGAGAAGGCCATCTGTAAGCCAATGGAGAGCAGCCTCAGAAGGAACCAACCCAGCCAACAACTTGACCTTAAGCTTCTAGCCTCCAGCACTGTGAGAAGGTAAACTTCTGTAGTTTAAGCCACTCGGGCTGCAGTACTTTGTTACAGCAGCTTGAGCAGACTAATACAGCAGGTAATTGAGCAAATAGATTTTTTTTTTCTCTCTGAATCACAGCCATTCAGAGGATGCAGTTCTGTAGGTTTGCTTATGCAGGTTCTCAGACCCATAAAGCAGTCAGGCTTCTCCTGCAGTCTAACTCCATTGCTCAAGGCCAAGGTGAATGACCCAGCCGCAGAAAGGTGTGTACCATGGCTCTGCAACTTGGCTACAATCTGCACTGCCCCCCAACCCAACCCAATCCAGCTGGTCACCAGCCACCAGTCACCTTTTGAATGAAGACTAGCAAAACCATCCATTCAGATGTACCCACTCTTAAAGCTCAAGTCAACTGATCATGAGTCAGGGACAACCTCTTTCTCAGACCAAGGGCGTAAAAGGCAGAGAAGGCACGACCAGGTGTGCTGAGTGGGGAAGACCCTAGGTGTCTTTAACTCTGGCTCTTCTGCTGCCAACTGCATGATCCCAATGTCTTAAGTCATCCGTGTCTCATTTTCCTTATCTGTATAGTGGGTATAAAAATTGTACCTACTTCGCACAGGATTAGTGCAAGGATTAAAGCATCGGATTCATATGAAAATGCTTTGTAAAGCTTTAACATTTCCTACACAGGCTAAGGGGGCCTTCCCTGGAAGCTCAGTGGCAAAGAATCCTCCTGCCAATGCAGGAGACCCTGGCTCAATTCCTGGGTCAGGAAGATCTCCTGGGTCAGGAAGATCCCCTGGGGAAGGAAATGGCAACCCACTCCAGTATTCTTGCCTGGAGAATCCCCATGGACAGAAGAGCCTGGCAGGCTACAGTCCATGAGGTCTAAGTGACTGAGCGACTGAACAACAATAACAACACAGGCTAAGAGTCATCAACTTAACAAAACTGTGAGCATTTACCTTGCACCAGTCCCTAGTGGTTCAGACGGTAAAGCATCTGCCTACAATGCGGAAGACCTGGATTCAATCCCTGGGTCAGGAAGCTCTCCTAGAGAAGGAAATGGCAACCCACTGGAGTGTTCTTGCCTGGAAAAATCCCATGGACGGAGGAGCCTGACGGTCTGCAGTCCATGGGGTTGCAGAGTCAGACATGACTGAACGGCTTCACTTTCCCTTTAGACCCTGTATGGGGCATGTATGACATTGCAGGCATCCAGAAACTACTAACTGCATGATTTGAACACGGTGAGATGAATGGTGTGGAGCCCCTGCCCTTGCAGCGTGCACAGGTAAAGAAAGGGAGGGACCTTAAGACAATGCACACGGCAAGCGCTCTGGTGTATGTGGCCCAGGTGCCCACGCAGCCCAAGTCAGCCTCCACCCCTATCGGTGAGTCCGGGAAGTTTTGCAGGAAGATATGATAACTAGGTGGGTAGTGAAGGCAGAAAACTAGAGTTAGCCTGGTTAGGGAGGCTCACTGCAGGGAAGGAAGGACATATTCTATCAAAGGACAGACCATAAAAATGAAAGCATTGAAGAGGACGTGTCTTCGGCTTCTTCCAGAAGCATTCCTTGAGACAAGGGTTCACATGCAAGTATCTTGCTTGAAGGTGGTCCCAGGAAACCCACCCAGGTAGACAGGAGAGGAAGAAAGATGGTAGGGAAAGGAAAGGAATCCAGTCTTGAGGCATTATCAGACTAGTTAGCTTTGTGGGTGACTGGAGCTGAATCTCGGTGGAGAACCTGGGAAATGGTGTAGAAAGTGTGCCTCAACGTTATCTGGCCCAAAGGGTGAAGGTGCTGAGGACTCTATGCTGGTGTCCATCCGGAATCTCTCAAGAGCAGCTCCTTGCGGGGCGCGGGGGGGGGGGCAGGGTGTGGAGGGGGTGGGCGTTTGCTTCCTGGAGATTGTAGCCTGCAGCGCACATGGGCAGAGTGCCCTCTAGTGGCCAGAGAAAAACTCCGTGCAAAGAAACTCAAGGGCTGGCTGACCGCAGAACCTGGGAAGAGAGAATTCAGGCCAGGCGCCTACCGCATCCGCCGTCGTGGGGTACAGGAGTACAGATGCTTCGGTGTTTCTAGAACACAAGGTCCAACACAGGGAATTGCAGGCCATGAAGCAGAAGAGATAGGCGGAGGCGAGGGCAAGAATATGTGAATATAGGTCATGCTCCTGTGTTTCAACTTTGTCCTGAGGGCAGTTGGAGGGTTTTGAGATTGGGAAGGGCATGGTCAGTATTTTATCTTTGAAATATCACTCTGGTTGCCATATGGAACATGCCTTTGAATGAGATAAGACCAGTCCTGAACCCAGGAAGAGGGTCTCATATTAATTAATAGTCAAGGAAGGGACTTCCCTAGTGGTCGGGTGGTTAAGACTTTGCCTTCCATTGCAGAGACTGTGGGTTTGACTCCTGGTTAGTGAACTAAGGTCTTGCATGCCACACGGTGCAGGCAAAACAAACAAAAAAACCTTATAGCTGGACTGTATTTTAAAAATCTTTTTTAAAAAATGTTTTAAAAAAATAGTCAAGGAGGAAAACAGGAAGGACCTGATAGGAATAGTGAGAGGATTAGAAAAAATATGTTGGAGACAAAAAGAAACCCACCTGGACTTGGCAGTTTAGTGGATCTGAATATGATGGGAAGAAAGGGTCAAGGATGACTCTGAGGGTCTCTAACTTGGATGACTTGTCCATGCCGGTGCCACCAACCGAGTCAGAGAATGAAGAAACAGGAGCAGGTGTAGGTGGGAGGACATGCAGTCGAGTGCAGCACTTGTAATTTGAGGAGTGTGAAGGCAACCCAGCATGGAACAGAGAAGCCTGAAGCCCAAGGAGAACTGACTTGGAAATGGGATTCTAGAGATTCACACGTGATTGTTGGTGAAAGGTTGAGAGTGAACAAGGTGGCCCAGGTGAGTGTGCAAACTGTGAACCTTGTAGGGGGTCACGGACAGAACCATAACAACAATCACCAACATGAAGATAGTAGATAAGCCAAAAAATAAATAAATCCTTGAAGGGGCCAGGCACAAAGAAAATAGATGTGGTATAACTAGCACAGAGAAGTCGAGAGACCTATGAGCTTGGGTGTGATCACCACACCGGTTCCCAGGGATGCCCAGGGAGCCTTGCACAGAGATTGGTGTCGTGATGTCCTCATTTTGGCTGGCAATCTGACCTTCCCTAGATTCATTTCATGCGGATGGACACAGAACGCGAACAGGCACTAGAGATAGCTAGTTTGAGAAGTTAGGGTGGAGATGGTTAGTTACAAGTGTCTTCAGCATCCAGAGCACCTTGCAGTTTTTCTTATTGGAGGCACTTAGAGAAAGTGGAGGGGGAGAGGAGAAAGAAAGAAGAAAGGAAGGGATCACTAGAGGAGGACAAGGTTGAAGAAGTTAGAGGGGGACCCAGAGATGAGGAAGAAGCATTGATATCCAGCAGGAGAAGGGAAGAGGCATTGTCTGGAGTTGAAGCCAAAGGGATGAAAATATGATGAATGAGATGACTGTATGAGTAAGGAAAGTGGGATCCTCAGTGTTCTCAATAGCATATCAGACAAGACCATCTACTTAGAGGACTCAAGTGGAGAGTGAAGTTAAGGAGAGTGACTAGAGCTGAGAAGGGCCACTGAGAACAGCAGAAAAGGAAGCTGACCAAGGGCAAAGTGATGCGCAGGCAGAAATCTGGGCCCAGCTGAGACTGGAGACTATGAATTTACAAATTTTTTCTTTTTCTCGTCATAGTTTTTTTTTTTTTAATCCTCATATAGGCTATTAGTACAATGTATTTTTACAATAGAATGCAAAAATAATTTATTTTTAAAAGTGTATTTATTTTAATTGGAAGGTAATTACTTTACAATATTGTGATAGCTTTTTGCCATACATCAACATGAATCAGCCATAGCTTTGCCACTTAAAATTATCAATTGGTCTTAGAATAACACACTAAAAATGATTTGGAAACAAATTCAACATGAAAAGCAAAAAAAAAGAAGATTGTGAATGTTTAGTCATTAAAAAACAGTTTTCTAGTAAGCATTTGTCATTCATGCCCATTTACATGGCGTATTATATCATTATACTCATTTTATGTCACTTTTTAGGCTTCAGTTAAGCTCAAGTCAGTGAAATTGAGACCATGAATTTTCAATGGTCCTAGCCCACTTGGTGATGAGGCTACAGTGAGATGCTATCAGGGTCCCATTCTCTGTCCTCTCTGGGTACCTGTGCGTGGCTGCAGGTGCATGTACATAGGGAGCATCACCGCAGAACTTCACCTCTGAGGACTGTTTCTGGTTCCTTCTGTGTCTATCTGTCCAGGAGCTGTATTCTCAATCCTATGACGCCGTTGGAGTGATGTTTGCCTCCATCCCGGGGTTTGCAGACTTTTACTCTCAGACCGAAATGAACAACCAAGGAGTGGAATGCCTCCGCCTGCTGAATGAGATCATTGCTGACTTCGATGAGGTAAACAGGAGCCTCAGAAATTTACAATTGCGAATAAGCATCCCTGCTGTTGTAGTGTTGTGTTGTTCATTGTAACCAATGTCTGCACTTACAGAATTCCAGACTGCATTATAAACACAGACATGTGTCATCTAATTTCATTATCACATGAGATAAAGGCGGTTGTTTCTCCTGGAGGACCAGGAACTTGAGCTTCGGTGAGGCTAGGAACTTAATCCAGTGTCATGCAACCAGAAAATGGCAAAACCAGGACTTGACTGGAGGCCAGTGCTACAAGGCCCTGACATCACAGAGATGGGGCCATTTCTCCATCTGCTCAAATTGCCAAAGATAAAACCATCAATTAGCATTTGCTCACAGACCTACACAAAATATAAACACACCCCAGATAGTACTTTCTTCTTCCAGTTTCCAGGAATGCAGGAAACACTCATGCCACACTTTACATTAATAGGCTTTGCAGGAGGGGGTCTTCTCCCCCTCACCACCCCCCAGCTTGACATAAGACACCCATGTCCATCCACATGCCTAAATCTTAGATGGAAAGTTTGTGAGTAGTTGAAAAGATGCCAGCGAAGAAGCCAAGCAAAAATGTGGGTTCGGCTGAAGTCCAGCCTCGTCAGCCTGATCCCCCAGGGAGCTCAGGGCTATAAGTGCTACCACAGAGGTCCACCTTGAGGCAAGGCTTTTGTACACCTGTCTAGGTCAGCCATTGGCCATAGGCCACCCCGGTGGAGGTGTGTGATCTTCCAGGCATTGCCGAGAAGAGCGCTTTCTGGGCTATTCCCCAAAATGGGCATAATAGTACACTGTTAGCAGCCAGCCCTGAGGGTACTCAGGAGAATGAGCCCATACAGGAGAACTGAGCTGGTATCAACAGCATCTACCCCATCCCCCTAAACAAAGCTCTCTCCCTTAATCCCCACCATCCATCTAGAATGTCCTGTGGAGTCCTGCTTCTTAATAGTTCTTGGATACGCTCTTCACCATCTCACCATCAAAGTGGCCCTTGACCTGCTTTAGGCCATATTGTTTCTCATCTGAATGAGTACAGTCACCTTACCATTCACGCTTCTGCATCTGACTACCAGCAACCACCAAAAGCAACAGTATTTTGTTACATTCCTTTGAAGCCTAAAATCCCTTGGCGGCTCCTCTTTGCCAGTCTTCCCAATAAACGGAGGTCGAAGACAGCATCTCTGTTGGTAGAGATGGAGGTTTGAGGAGGGAAGTTGGAAAGACTAAGAGAAGGAATCGGTCCTTCTAAGGGGTTTTGGATCAGGAGGAACAGGAGGAGAAAGGAGATTTGAGGAGAAGGTGAAAGAAGAAAGAGGAGAAGCAGAGATGAGAGAGTGGAAGAAAAAGAAGAGGGGGAAAGATAAGAAAGAAGAGACACCGCGGAGGAGAAGGAAGAAAGAAGAGAATGTAGTCAACAGGAAGGAAAACTAAGACTCCCTGGCTTGCCAACCCCAAGCCCCATCAGCCTTCTTTGCATGGATGGGTCCTTGGATCATCTGGACATGCCTTCTTTCTTTGCTCTCTGGAGTTTGTTTTTTTTCCACACAATAACTTATTTATTTGTATTATAGTCTACATACTATAACAAAAAATTATCAGTGTGACAAATATATAATGAACTTCTGCAAGGCAAGAAAAATGAAGTGCAATAGATGGACAAAGTACATGGCATTTATAACAATAATTGGCAAGTTTGGAGATTTGTCAGATCACATATAGACACTGCTTGGACGAAGCAGATAACATATTGTTACCTAAAGGATATAGCAAGCAGTGAAGATACACATTGGAGAGACCAGCCTTATCTCCTAGAGAGAAATTTGAGCTTTGGGTACCCTAAAATTAAAGCAAATATTTTACCGTTATTACCAACAGTGATGAGTCAGATTGCCTTCTTTCTTTGGGTCCAAAGAGACCCTCTCGACTCTGCCTTGATTGATCTCCAACCAGACACCTTTCAGTGATCGTGTTGCTCTTCTTGCTGATGTAATTGCCACTAGAGCCTGGCTCAGAGGAAGGCGGAACGTTGCCTGGAGCACACGCTCCAGGACTGGGTTTGTGATAACCCAGTGGCAGGACTTCTCATCCCCAGCCTCTGCCTCATCGAAGGCTGAAGAGTCCCTCACATCTCAGTGCTCCTCACAGAGAATTAATAAAGGCACTGATAAGGAACCCCATCATGGCTCCTGATGCTCTTAGCTGCATAGTGGGTGTAAAACCAAGTAGCAAAGCCTCCTAATCAACTTTTGAGGAGGGAACAGCTTTGTCTGGACTGGAAATTGTCCTTCAGCCAAATAGTTCCAAGGGTTTCTCAGGTTGCGCTAGTGGTAAAGAACCCACCTGCCAATGCAGGAGACATAAGAGACGCAGGTTCGATCCCTGAGTCAGAAAGATCCCCTGGAGGAGGACATGGCAACCCACTCCAGTATTTTTGCCTGGAGAATCCCATGGACAGAGGAGCCTGGCAGGCTACAGCCCATTGGATCGCAAAGAGTCAGACACAACTGAAGCGACCTAGCAGGCATGCATGAAGTAGTTCGTAAGAGAAGAGAGGAAGGCAGCTCCCCCTCCTGCAGGAATCTGGGGAAATGCAATTGTAAGGAGGCAGAGGGAGGGAGGGAGGCAACCAAAAACATGCCAAAATCTCTGAGCTAAAATATCAATAGTCAAAGGGCTGCTAAGAGACCAAGCCTGCTTAGTGGCATCTGAGGATAAACCTCAGGCATTAAACGGCTGAGGACAGACACCGCTCCAGCCACATTCTGCCCTGGGCACAGTTTGCAGGATCTCAGAATAGTGGCTTAACTTTAGCTCAAGAAGTGAAGTTACTGCAATACAGTAACCAAGTATAAGGGTTTCCCTGGTGGCTCAGTGGTAAAGAATCCACCTGCCAATGCAGCAGATGCACATTTGATCCCTGGGTCAGGAAGATCCCCTGGAGAAGGGAATGGCAACCCACTCCAGTATTCTTGCTTGGGAAATCCCGTGGACAGAGGAGCCTGATAGGCTATAGTCCCTGGGGTCGAACATGACTTAGCAACTAAACAACAATAACAACAAACCAGGTATAGACTAATGGTGCCTTAGACCAGGATGCTGACATGAAATGCTAAAATTTTAAATACACACTGACAGTAAAGCCAAAAGGAGATGTTGATGGATTTCGGAATATTTGCTCTTTCTTCTTTAATCTAATAAGATAGATTTGTTTATTTCAGAGACTCATAGGAACTGATCTAGTCCTTAGAGTATCTGGTGACACCTGTCTGGGCACCTAACACTTAGCATGTAATCAGTAAACATATGTTGACGGCCTGGATGTTTGATTCTGAGAAAGGAAAGTGGCTACCTCAAGGATGCTAACCCAGCCCGAGGTGGTCCTCACCGTGAGCCAAGGGCTTGTTTCCAGGAGCCCCAGGATGCTGGAAGCACGAGGACCAGGACTGACGCTGTTGTCTGGGTCTGTTTCAGCTGCTTGGAGAAGACCGGTTTCAGGACATTGAGAAGATTAAGACCATTGGCAGCACCTACATGGCCGTGTCGGGCCTGTCACCTGAGAAGCAGGTAAAGGAAGGCTCTGGACTCGACCACACCCTCCGGCAGGGACCGAATTGTGGTCCTGTCGCTGAAGGTGGGAGGGTGGTGGGCTGTCAGCGCTAGGAGACTTGGCGACCAGTAGGGAGAAACTCTGATAAGTGGATCTTCCAGGTGCGTGATGTATTTGTTCCCCATGTAGGCAGGATTCACTGGGTGAAACGATGCTTCTTTATGACGGAGAAGCCTCTAGGCTTCACTCTGAACCTCACTGTTCACTTGATGTGCAAAATCAGGACTGAGAAATACTGATTATGACTCAGGTGCAGGTGTTGCTAAACCCCTGATCCCAGCCTGTTTTCTTGTTCTTACTTTTGTTTTCTCCTCCAAAAGTAATGATAGTAATAGCTCCACTTTTTAAAAAATGAAAGTCAGACTTTTAAAAAAAATTTATGTACTTATTTTTTTGGCTGCACTGGGTCTTTGTTGCTTCAAGGAAACTGAGGCTCAGAAAGCAAATGTCTACATGAAACATCCCTTAAACAGACACTGTGAGTGCTTCAAAGGAAAGAGACATGGCTCCTAGATTGGAAACATCACACATGTGAACATAGGAGTGTACACACACACACACACACACACACACACACACACCCCTGTGAGCAGCATCAACCTGAATACACAAGGGTAGGGGTAGGGAATGGAATCTGAGAGTCACACACTCTCTGGAGCAAATATCCTAGCACCCTGTGACTCTGGACACTGATGACTGAGTGGCTCAAAACCTGGTTACTTCCCTTGAAGGGGGGTGTGGGTGGAGTTAGGTTAGGACACACACCAGACCCCTGCAGCAGAAACGATCCTGTTTGCCCGTCCAATGACTTCTTCTCTCACGTTCACTGCAGCAATGCGAGGATAAGTGGGGGCATTTGTGTGCCCTGGCCGACTTCTCCCTCGCCCTGACTGAAAGCATCCAGGAGATCAACAAGCATTCCTTCAACAATTTCGAGCTCCGGATTGGTGAGTAGCAGCTGGAAGGCTGGCTGGCCTCGCTCCATTGAGCCCTCCCGTGCCCTGGGCATCAAGCCAGGGGCGCTTTTTCCTGCAAGAATACAGCAGAGCCAGTGTGACCTGGTCAAGGACAGGCCTGTCTGGGTTTCTTCTTGCTCAAGATGCTGGAAGCAGGGGAAGGATTCTGGCCTGTGTGCAGAAATACCAAGCAAATGATAGGCTATGGCTCCCCACTCCTCCAACTTGTCTGGAATCCCACCCATGCAAGGCCTTGGGTAGACAGAAAGCTGACTGTCAGTCATTTCCCTCTGTGTCATCTGATGCTGGGGGTCAGTGCATTGCCCTGTGGTTCTTCTGGGTATTTGCCTTGAGCCAAAAGCCAGGATTCTGTTCCTGAGGATGTCAGATGCTGAATTGAGCCAGAGACAGGCAGATAGCATTAGAGTTCTTCACTCAGCCACATAGCTCAGCATCCTTTGAGCTTTGGGATACCCTTGTGCAAAACAATAGCACAATACTCACAGTGATATGATAATAGTCATTTACAATTTGTAAAACTTGTTAATTTTTTCAGCATCTTTACTGAGCCTGGGGAGTGGGGGTGGGGTGGCTCCTAAAGCACAGTCTAAAAGTGAACGTGTTAGTTGCTCAGTCATGTCAAACTCTTTGTGACCCCATGGACTGTAGCCCATCAGGTTCCTCTGTCCATGGGATTCTCCAGGCATGAATACTGGAGTGGGTTGCCATTCCCTTCTCCAGTTGATCTTCCCAACCCAGGGATCAAACCTGGGTCTCCTGCACTGCAGGCAGATTCTTTACCATCTGAGCCACCTAGGAAGCCCAGTCTGAAAGCCCCTGCTTAGTCCACATTCACATCATATAGATGGGTAAAGTCAGGTCCAGAGAAGGGGAGCAGCTAGCCTAAGATCACACAGCCAGATGGTCTTCCAGCAGTAGCTCCAGGATTTCCTTACTGAGACCAGTGGCCTTCTGGGGTCCAGTGTGCAATCTAAAAACAGATGTTCTTGCAGTTCTCATGTCTTAGATATCCTCTGGCTGTGTGCCATTTTACTTTCTTGGTTCTGCTTTAGTAGCTTTCAAGTATAAAAGGTCAAGTAATACCCATGCCTGACTTGTCAGATCTAAGGACTGCCTTTGTTCACTGGAATAAAGCATTGATATTTTATGTTTTGATCGATGGATGGGATGTTCAGGGCTTGTTTCCACATCTTTCAGTGGCCCTACATGTCCTTTCTGAAATCATTGAATACATGATCGAACCAGGAACAAAAAGCAGAACTATAACCCTGAGCAATGGCTTCGTAATTTCAGGAGATGTTGCTGAGATTAAGGCCAACCCATACTTTACCCTGGAGGCATAGTTTGGAATTTGGAAAATTATGTTCCCAGTGGGATCAGGCACCTCAGTTTGTGTTTTGGGTCTGCTGTGACCAGCTCTATGACTTGGGCAAGTCTTTCAAATCCTCTGGGACTGCCCTGCTCTGGTGCTCCAGTGGATAAGACTCCATGCCTCCACTGCAAGGGGCACAGGTTTGATCCCCTGGCAGGGAACTAAGATTCCAAATGCCTCGAGGTGCGGCCCAAAATTAGAAAACAAAAACAAAACTCTCTGAGCGTCAGCTTTATCCTGTGTAAACGGGGTTTTATATTGTTACCTCATAGTAGTAAGATGAGATGAAAATAGGTGGATCAGTGGTAAAGACTCTGCCCGCCAATGCAGGAGCCACAGGAGATGTGGATTTGATCCCTGGGTCAGGAAGATCGCCTGGAGGAGGGCATGGCAACTCACTCCAGTATTCTTGCCTGGAGAATCCCATGGACGGCGAAGGCGGGTCCCTCCGAGACCTCCCTCTTCTCTCATCTCTTGCTCCTTCGCTTCCCTCACAGGCATCAGCCACGGCTCCGTGGTAGCCGGCGTCATCGGCGCCAAGAAACCACAGTACGACATTTGGGGCAAAACCGTGAACCTGGCGAGTCGGATGGACAGCACCGGCATCAGCGGCAGGATCCAGGTCCCGGAGGAGACCTACCTCATCCTGAAGGACCAGGGCTTTGCCTTTGACTACCGAGGGGAGATCTACGTGAAGGGCATCAGCGAGCAGGAAGGGAAAATCAAAACGTACTTTCTCCTGGGAAGAGTCCAGCCCAACCCCTTCATCCTGCCCCCGAGGAGACTGCCCGGGCAGTACTCCTTGGCCGCGGTCGTCCTGGGCCTCGTCCAGTCCCTCAACAGGCAGAGGCAGAAGCAGCTGCTGAACGAGAACAACACCACGGGCATCATCAAGGGCCACTACAACCGGCGGACTTTGCTGACACCCAGCGGGCCAGAGCCGGGAGCCCCCGCCGAAGGCACCGACAAGTCCGAGTTGCCATAAACGCATTTTCTTTGTGTTTCTTTTTTTGTATTTCTTTTATATATAAAATAAATATACTAATAAAAAGGTTTAATTTTTTTTAGAACAAGTATGGTTTCATTGGTCTCTGGATGCTCTAGATAGAAGACATGATCTGAGTTTCTCTCCCGTCACAGACATTTCTTCATCTCTTATATACATGGTTTATTGGGAAGCGAATATAAGTAAGACCTTGTCCTTGTTTTCAGAGGCTCACAATGAAGTGTGAAAAGAGAGATCTGTAAACAGAGACTCAATATAGTGGAATCTGCATAAAGAACTGCTGCTTATAGAGCGCTTGTCATGTGCCTGGTACATGATAATTTTAATGGATAATATTCCTATAAACCAATACATAATACTCTGCTTTCAGAGTATTTAGGGGCTTCCCTGGTGGCACTGAAAAGTGAAAGTGAGGTGAAAGTTGCTCAGTTATGTCAGACTCTTTGTGACACCAGATTCTCCAGGCCAGAATACTGGAGTGGGTAGCCTGTCCCTTCTCCAGGGGATCTTCCCAATCCAGGGATCAAACCCAGGTCTCCTGCATTGTAGGCAGATTCTTTACCAACTGAGCTACCTGGGAAGCCATCCTGAGCTTTCCTAGCTGAGCCACAAGGGAAGCCCAAGAATACTGGAGTGGGCAGCCTATCCCTTCTCCAGGGGATCTTCCTGACCCAGGAATTGAACTGGGGTCTCCTGCATTGCAGGCAGATTCTTTACCAACTGAGCTACCAGGGAAGCCCTCCTGGTGGCACAGTGGTAAAGAACCCACCTGCCAATGCAGGAGACAACAGAGATGCAAGTTCGATCTCTGGGTTGGGAAGATCCTCTGGAGTAGGAAATGGCAGCCCACTCCAGTATTCTTGCCTGGAGAATCCCATGGACAGAGGAGCGTGGTGAGCTACAGTCATTGGGCTGCGGAGAATCAGACATGACTAAGCATGGAACAATGCTTTCAGAGAGGGGTAGAGGCAATGAAAAAAAAAAAATTAGGTAGGACAATTGTGATAAAGAATTGAAGATCATGGACTTCCCTGGCCGTCCAGAGGTTAAGACACTGCTTTTCCAATGCAGGGGACACAGGTTCGATCCCTGATCAGGAACTAAGATCCCACATGCTGTGGCCAAAAAAAAGAATTGGAAGTCAAGCGTGTTCTTCGAACTGAAGACACCAGAGAAGGCATCTTTGAGGCTATGATGCTAAAGATTAGCCCTAATTGATGAGAAGGAGGAAAGCCACAGATCCTGGGAGAAAAGTGACCCAAGCAGAAGGAATAGCAAGTGCAAATGCCCTGAGGTGGGATCGAGACCACTGGATCAGGAGGAAGCACAATGAGAAGGCAGCAGGTTGGTGAGTAGGTTCAGGCAGGTACACTGTTTCCTGGGAAGACTGCATGCTAAGCTCTGCACTTCTGACCACAGAACCTGCCAGCAAAGCTTCATACAGATGAGAAAGCTCAGAAAAAGTAAAGGAATTGCCCAAGATCTTATAGTTAGGTGTAGAACTAGGCTCAGAACTGTATTGGTCAACAATAGCTAAGTGCTATTAACAAATAACTCCTACACTTAGCAGCTAAAATGAAATGAGAGATTTAGATCTTATTTACATCCTATTGGATGTGTGGCGGGGCCTTCCTGGTATTGGTCTCAGGATCTTGGTCTCCTTCCACTTGGAGTCCTCTGCCTGATCCTCTCTATCTAGCCAGCTATAGGGAAGAGAGGGAAAGGAAGGGAGGTCACTAAGAAGGTCTTGGGTACCAGGCCTGGAAGTCACCCATATTATTATATTTTCCTGTCATCAACCAGAACTCAGTCACTGGTCCCACTTCAAGGCAAGGGAGGTTAGGAGACAGATTCTTCCTGTGTTTGCCACTAAGAGAAAACTGAAATGTAATGAGAAATACTGTCTCTTCCATAAGAATCTATACCTGGGGACTGCCCTGGCTGTCTAGTGGTTTAGACTTCACCCTCCGTTACAGTGGGTGGGTGGTCAGTCCCTGGTCTGGGAGGAAACTAAGATCCCATATGCCTCACGGCCAGAAAACCAAAATATAAAACAGAAGCAATATTGTAATAAATTCAATAAAGGATTTAAAAATAGTATACTTCCAAAAAAATCTTAAAAAAAAAAAGAATTCATACCTGTCTAAGCCCATGTGTGCAAACATAAAGCTTTTCTGGTAAGTTTCATGTTGGAGGGGAGGATAAGGTTTAAGTAATGAAAAGTACTAAATTCCAATTATTATCTAACTCTTGACTCTTAACAACAACTCATTGAAAAGAAACTTAGCATCAGGAAAGGAATCCATGGTAGATACACTCTCAAACAAATACCCACCTGCGTTACCTTGGGTGAGACCCCCATGACAGGAGAGAAACTATGCTCTCGGCTGTTGTTCACCCGCTAAGTCTTGTCCAACTCTGTGACCCCATGGACTGCAGCACGTCAGGCTTCCCAGCCCATCACTATCTCCCAGAGTTTGCGCAAACACATGAGAAGCACAAAGTACAGAGAAGGAGTTGAAGCTCAGATGGACTTTGACCTTGGAGCCAAGTTCAGAAAGTTTTTCATTCTCAGAAACTGCACATGTCAAAGAAGCACAGGAGGCCCCGGTGGAACACGCAGAGGGTGTCAGGTGAGAAAGCCTCTGTGAGCAAAGCCCTAGACCATTATCGGCTGATTATTATCTTTGCAGACTCAGAGAAAGCCAGAGAAAACCTTGAGGTTTATTCAGTCCAACCTGCTGGGGACATTTAAACAAGGAAAAGTTCAGGGCATGCCAAGTCCTAGAGCCTCAGGATAGAGGTGGGGAGCTGAGTCCAGGTAGGTTGCGGACCCAGCAAACATCATAGCAAGAGGCCAGCCTCGGTGGAGAGTCTGGCTAAGAAAGCACAGCATCCAACAGAGAAATCTGACATGTGGCATCCGGCTTTGGGCTAATCCAGAACACAGGGCCCTTCCGGAACCTGGGGACAGTCCACCAGAGGCTCCAGTGAGCAGACAAGCCCTGGTGAGCTGGATCCTGCCCCAGGAACAGAGGTTGTCCCTAAACTCAGAGCTAGGACTCAGGACAAGGTCCCTGGACTAGAAGTAGAATGTGGTCCCAGATGGGGTAGCTGGGCAGACCCTAAGGAAGGAAGCATGGGGCCAAACACAGGTCCATGGATGCTGCCCATTTGGGAGTAAGGGTGAGGCCACCGCTGTGAAGCTTCACCCAGAACCCATCCCTGACTCAGGGATGTTGAGATTCAGGGCAGGGAGATGGAGGCGATGGAGACCCCATCCTTAGTCTGGGAGGTGTGGCTTCATTCCAGGTTCCATCAAGCAGAGGAGCAAGGGGGCAAGGCGGTGCTGAGAATCACCATCAGATCTTCAAGAACCCCACAAAGAGGAGGTTCCGTCTCTGCTCCAAAATGCCCAGCCCCAAATCACTCAGTGCTTGCCCCCCAGGCCAGTCTGTTTCATGACCCCACGGGGCATGCAGAGTTTGCATATGAAGAGCAAAGGGCAAGAGACACAACCAGGCAACCGGCCTGTGGTTGAACAGCCGATAAACACACCTCCTCTTGGGCCTTGGATAAGTGAAGGGTGATGGTCTTCCTGAAATCAGATATATTTCCTGTTTACCTATTTTTTAGTCCACTCAGCTCATTTGTTCAAAGAACTTGAAATGTCAAGGGATTTCCAGGAATCTGGCATAACTCAGAAATAATCCTGGCATCGTATTTCCATCCAGGGGCTCCAGCCTTACCTTTTCTCCTCTGAACTCTACTTCTGACATTTTAGGTTTGATCTTAGAAATGTCAAGTAAGACATTCAAGTAAATGTCTGGCAGAAAGTATAGTTCCCCAAACGGTGAAATGTAAAAAGAAACACAGAATAGGATACTGGCTTAAGCTAAGTATGTTCAGGCCTAACAGAGGCTTTCTCAACAGCTCTGTATTCTTGACCTGATGAAGACATCTTCTGGGCATTGACCCAGGTAACCCCCAACTCCTGTTGATCAGCCTGCATAGGTAATGCACATTTTCCTGCGAGACAAGCGCAGCCTCTCTTAGAGAACAGGCAAGGCGTCTACCTACCTACCAAGGGCTGGATCTGAGAACCTGCTACCTCCCAATCCACCATCCCCAAAAGTTAAGAGGATCATCCTGAGTTCAGGGTCCCCCCCAGCAGCTTCCCTGCTTCCCTCCTGCCTGGGGGACCACGTGAGTGCCGCCGCTCTCAGCTGGAAGTACGTACAATGTTGTCATCCCCATTCTACAGGTGAAGGGCCTGAGGCACAGAGAACTTGAGCAACTTACCCTGGAAAGATCTTTGTTGTCATTGACATTTAGCCGCTAAGTCGGGTCCAATCCCAGGGACTGTAGCCCGCCAGTCTCCTCTGTCCATGTGATTTCCCAGGCAAGAACACCGGAGTGAGTTGCCATTTCCTTCTCCAGGAAAGGTCTTACAACCAGAAAATAGAGGTGCTGGGATTCAAACCCAGGCGGTCAGATTCTAGAGTTCTGCCCTGAAGCACCACTGCCCAACCCTGTGATGGATGAATCACACTCTGTAAATGAAAGTTATGAGACAAGTGCTCGGGCCTGGTGCACTGGGAAGACCCAGAGGGATTGGGTGGAGAGGGAGGTGGGAGGGGGGACCGGGATGGGGAATACATGTAAATCCATGGCTAATTCATTTCAATGTATGACAAAAACTACTGTAATGATGTAAAGTAATTAGCCTCCAACTAATAAAAATAAATGGAAAAAGAAAAAAAGTTAAAGTCTGGGCGGACTCCCCGCCAGGGGGCAGCAGGCTGAGTGAAGGAGTGAGGAGGGCAGGACTCTGAAGCAGCTGCCGTCGGGACAGCCTGGACCTCTTGTCCTGGTTCCGAGCACCCTCATCCTCTGTCGCCATGGGTGAAACAGCCATTACCCTTCTTCGTGTGTGTTGTGATGTGGGGAGGGTTGGGAGATTCGTAGTTTCTTGAGGTACACAGACCTGGGTTCGAATCCTCTCTCTACCTCTTCTCAGCTGTTTGATGTCAGGCCTGTGGCACAGGGCTTCCCTGTGGTTCAGAC